TACACTACACTACATTACACTACACTCCCTTCCACTACACTTCACTACATTACACTACACTACACGCCACTACACTACAACTACAACTACGACTACACAACTACACTCCACTACACTCCACTACACAAAATTACACTCCACTACGCTACATTCCACAGTACACTCCACTACACTACACTACATTACACTACACTACATTACACTGAATGACACTGCACCACAGATAGGCAGGTAGACAGATAGACAGATAGACGGATAGACATATAGACAGACAGACAGGCAGACAGACAGACAGACAGATAGATAGATAGAGAGATAGACAGGTAGACAGATAGACAGATGAAAGAGAGAGAGAGAGATAGATAGATAGATAGAGAGATAGAGAGATAGAGAGATAGAGAGGTAGAGAGATAGAGAGATAGAAAGATAGAGAGATAGAGAGATAGAGAGATACAGAGATAGAGAGATAGAAAGATAGCGAGATAGAGAGATAGAGAGATAGAGAGATAGAGAGATAGAGAGATAGATAGATAGATAGATAGATAGATAGACAAATAGCTAGAAAACTAGACAGCTAGATAGATAGGTAGGTAGATAGATAGACAGGGAGATAGATAGACAGACAGATAGATAGGTAGACAGATAGATCAGTAGGTAGGTAGGTAGATAATCAGAGAAAGATAGAGAAACAGAAAGAAAAAGAGAGAAAGACAAAAAAGAGAGAGAGAGAGAGAGAGATCAAGCACCTTTCAGTCCATCAGTGGCTTCGCTCTGCCATCCCTGATTCACAACAACCAATCTCTCCTATAGGTTTCCTATTTTTGAAACTTCCGCCACCGCCTTGTGCGGTACTACTGGTACTTTGTATGCTTGGCCGTTTGTGTGGCCACTCGGAGACTCCCGTTTCTTTTTGCTGTAAAGCTTCTGGCAAGTTGACATCATTTTCACAAATCGATTCTGGCCGCAGCAGGCCTATGTTTGATGGGAGTCCTTGGTGCGGTTCAGGGCTGGCCCTTTGCACGACAGGACGATGTCAGAACATGTCAGAACTATTTTGTTCGATGTCTGACCATGCATGCTACTGCTTTGCAGACTGTGAGACTTGCTTTCGGGCATTGCTGGCAGGGTGGAGCTGTTTTGGATGGCGGGTCCTCCCGCACGTGCGGCCCTCAAAGATCCCAGCTAGCCGATCTTTCATTTCTTTGGTGCCGAAGATCAGACTTTGCAGCTCAGGTTTTCTAGAGTGGCGGGTTTTCCTCGAAACGAGAATGCCAGTTTCTCTGACTTCTCAGCAATTGCGCAGACGAAGTGTTGCACAGAGTTGTTTGCGTGTGTTCAGCAGCTGAGATGGCAAATGGTGACTATTGCCGGTGACAAAGTCTTGCTGCGATGCGGCGCATTCGTCATGTGTTTATATGCGCGGATGCATTTCATTTTTAGAAGTTCGCTGCGCTGAGTCTTGGTAGCAAGCGAACATGAAACGGAGTTTGAAGCCTAGACGGACCAGCAGGGGAGCGTTTTCTGAGTTTTCCCCGCTGGTAAATATTCAGTTTGCTTTATGTGGATTACAGTAATTAAATTTGAGTCGAATCAGGCCACCAAGTTTGTGCTGATTGCATTGCCTGTCTTGAATTTCTTGCACTGTCTGTAACTTTCTGACTCTCTGATGTAGTTTGATGATGTTTGATGTATTTTGCATTATTTTGCTCAGATTGCCGTGGGCTTCTCGAGACCTCGAGCTTGAGGAACTCAGTAGCTGAAAGGTGCACAGCGCAGAGTCGAGTCAATCTTGCCTTCATTCCATGAACGCTACCAGTTGCCCTTACATATCAATGTTTCATGATTTTATTTATATATATATATCATACACATGATACATACATATGATACATACATATGATACATACATATGATACATACATATGATAATTACATATGATACACACATATGATACATGCATATGATACATACATATGATACATACATATGATTCATACATGTGATACATACATATGATACATACATATGATACATACATATGATACATACATATGATACATACATATGATACATACATATGATACATACATATGATACATACATGCATACATACATATGTATCATATATATATATATATCAAACATATATATATATATATTTATATATATACAATATCTATCATATATAATGCATAAAAAGAAAATATCCCGAGTGGCGGATGTTTTCCTAAACTTTGGGCAGTTTGGGATTCATTCAAAATTGTTTGAGGAACTACTTAGGGTCGGTTGAGACTATCTTTAGGGCTGGGGTGATGAATGTTTAGGGTGTGTTTAGTTTATTTTTGGTGCTATTTATGGTTGTTTTTCGGTTATTGCAGGGGTGTTTTTAGAGTTTAAATCAGGTTATATGGTTGATTTAGGGTTGGTTGAGGGTTGGTTTAGGGTTATTTTGGGTTCATTGGGGTTGGGATATGCTGGGATTCTTTTTTAAGGTGCTGCTGTTTGTTTAGGTTTTAGATAACGTATCGAGACACTGCAATCTGCAGAGAAAATGTTTGAGACGCGCTTGAAGGGATAATTTGGCACCCGTCTTAGGTAAGCACAAAATGCAATGAGACGCAGGTAATCTCGAAATTTTGTATGCTCGCAGTTTGCGAAGAAACCAGCGCCGAAACAACACAGCAGAGCGCAGTCTCGCATGGAATTTCGCAGGTTTCAGGCAAACGTCAGCCCCCTAGCGAAAAAGACATGTATACATTTGCAAAAATTAACAGATAAATCAACGATAGATAAATGAATACATAAATAGATGAATAAATAATCAGCTAAATAAACAAATAAATAAACGAATAAGTGAACAAATGAAGAATAAATAGATAAATAGATAAATGAATAAAGAAATGAAAGAATAAATATTTGTAGATATTCAGAGAATGTCTTTTCTTAGTTCTTCTTATTTCCATTTTCCGGAGTGCACTTCAGGTGATAGCGGCGCAATGAGCTCAGATTGACTTTCTGCACTTGCACATACGTAGACCTAGAAGCTGACATAGCATGGATCGTGCCTATAGTTTTCAACAACCACTTGCAGTTGTTGCACTCTCAAGGCACCAAAGAAGTGAGCCACGAGAATAGACCATACCTTTTTTGAAGATGTGACACCGGGATGTTTTTTCAACTCATTTTGAACCCAACCTGTGAAGCCAAAGTGATTACGGAATAAGTTATATAGAGGAGTTGTCCACCTGTTCACATGTGGAAACTGTCCCAGGAGGTGTCTCAGCTTCGCGTCTCAATTAATCGCATTTATCGTATGCCTTTCGATGCCTGTTCTTCCTAGGATTTCTTTACCTTCAGCTTTAGGGTCGGCTTTAGGTCGGCCTGCAGCATATAGCTTTAAAGTTTCACTGAGCTGACAGAATTGGCACAGTGACTTTGTGCTTTTGCCCTCGATTGGGGACAGTACTTGCACCTGCAGCAGTGTTTGTTCTATTGCTTGCCAACTAGAAGCAGGCCTGATCGGCAGTCAGGGCTTTAGAGCCTGAAAAAAGCGCTCAAGCAGGCTGCCGCTCTCCGCTCTTTCAAATTCAGAGGCAGAAGCAGTACCTGCAACAGTTGAAAATTCAGCAACTTGGATCGCTCTAAGTAATCCGACATATTTCTTTTTGCTGCAGTTTTTGGTGCGCTTGCTTCTTGAAGGAAGACATGTCAGTTTTGCATTTACGCTATAGATTCTTCCGCGGCAGATTCTCCGGCGACTGAACAAAGGACCACCCCGAAATTGTGATGAAATTATTATGAACACACTTGAAAGTTATGTAGGCACTGTGGAATTTGGTATGTGGAAACGGGCCCCTGCCTCCAACAACTTGACTCGTCGCTTGACAGAGCCGAACGGGAAGTAAGCAATCCCCATCGAGAGTATTTCACACCCAAAAAAACCAAAGAAATAGACAAAGAAATCATGGTGGCCTTCAAGACGGAACAGAGAGCGAAAGGATCAAGAAATGACTTTTTCATTTTTTCAGCCTACCATATTCCTTTCCATAATAATTTCCAGGGCTTTCGATTGCTGAGCTTCTCAATGCGTCGAGCCCTGCCTCGTTTTGCACAATGGGAGTCTCGCTTTCATTCAGCTCAATCGAATCTCGAGTCAAAAATCAAATCACAGCAGGCATGACTCACGTGACTGGCTGGATCTGAAAACTAGCTGTTTAAAGAGGGGATATCGTTCGTCCTGCGCCTGTGAGCCAAATCCTAACGGGTTGAAAGGTAGAGCTTCGCAGCCGCATGAAGCTGCTGTGAAGAAATGCCTAGGAAGCTACAAGCAGCCATTCTGTTCTTTCGTGCTTTCTGTTTTTGCTGTCTTCTTTGAGGTAGAGACGCGAGCAGCCAACCTGGGTGGGATCTCTGTGCTGAGTTCCTCTCCCGCTTTGGTTCCTCTTCTTGCAGAAACTGGACACTTACCATCAAGTGAAATGAAGGAGGAGTCCTCAGATAGATTTGGATAACGGATGAATGACAGATGCTGAAAATGATTATGGCAAGGAGGAGCATGACAGCATAGACAATAATGACGTGCTTGAATGCTGAGACGCGTTTTTTGAAATGAATCTGCCTCCAGGCTGTTGTCGAATCGTCTCTGATACAGTCTCAAACTTTTGAATAAATTTGTTTGACATCTTTCTGAACTCCGCAAACCAAAGCAAATCCTGCAGAATTCGAGCACCAAGAGAAGCTAACCAAAAACAGTGGTGGAACCGTTCAGGCTTTGAGGACAGCCGTCGGACACAACCGAGGTTTGGTCTCATGGGCTTGGTGGATGCTGCGACTCCGATGAACTCAGAGGAATCGGGAGCATTTTGGATCCTGCAAAGCTGGGCCGTACAGTGTTGCGCTTGGACCTGCGTGGCCATGGCCGCTCAAAGTCTGCCCATGAAAACGTTGACCACCAAGATGGCCACAAACAGTATTTGTGGTCGGAGTTAGCGAAAGATATGCGAAGGGCTGCAGCTGACTCTGTTTCGCGATCGTTTTTTGGAGGGGAAGCGCTCGGAGCGGCTGTGGCGCTGGAAGCAGCGATTGCTGCACAGGCAAGTAATTCAATCGATGCTCCTCCAGGACTGATACTCATGAGGCCTCCACAGATGCTGGTTGATGCGGCCAAAGGATCTGTGGACCCAGCACTTCTTCAAGAAATCCGTCGTATTGCAGAGCTGGTCATGGCTGACGGCTTCGATGCTTTAGACAAAGAAGAGACCAGGGAGAAAGCTCCATTTCTGGACGGTGCAGTTGCCACATTTTCCAGTGTTGCGAAAGGGGAGCTTCAGCGCTTGAGACGGACAATGGATAAGGCCACTCATCGGAGCTGCGGGCTTCACACAGCTCGGTTGGCTGCTTGTCAACTTTCGGTTTCCTTGTTAAATCGATTTGCACTCGCCATTCAAAAAATCCTTCCCTCAAAAGCTCTTGTTCCTCTTTCCTTCCTCTCTCCTTCCTCTCCTTCCTCTCTCCTTCCTCTCTCCTTCCTCTCTGCTTCCTCTCTCCTTCCTCTCCCCTTCTTCTCTCCTTCCTCTTCCCTTCCCCTCTGCTCTCTGCTACCTCTGTCCTTCCGTTCTCCTTCCTCTCTCCTTCCTCTCTGCTTCCTCTCTCTGCTACCTCTGTCCTTCCGTTCTCCTTCCTCTCTCCTTCCTCTCTGCTTCCTCTCTCTGCTTCCGCTCTCCTTCCTCTCTCCTTCATCTCTCCTTCCCCTCTCCTTCCTCTCTCCTTCCTCTCTCCTTCCTCTCTCCTTCCTCTCTCCTTCCTCTCTCCTTCCTCTCTCCTTCCTCTCTCCTTCCTCTCTCCTTCCTCTTCCCTTCCCCTCTGCTCTCTGCTACCTCTGTCCTTCCGCTCTCCTTCCTCTCTCCTTCTTCTTCTCCTCTTCTCTGTTCTCGGTTTCTCTCTTTCAAGCTTTCTTTCTTTCTCTCTGGCTCTCTCACTCTCTTTGCGCATTCTTGCAGCATGCGTTCGGACAATGGCTTAAACATGCAAACAAGCCTCCAGTCTTGATCGCAACATGGGAACCTGAGCTGGAGCAGCCTTTGACACCCAAACTGTCAGTGCCACCAGGACGCCTTTGCAGCAGCACTGCGCGGTTATGCTGCATCTGAGCAACCAGGGAAGCAGCTGGCGGACCGATTCAAGGACAGTGACTTCAAGTCTTGAAACGTTCGAAGATCGGGAGGCAAAAACAACTAGTCTGCAGCTGTTAAATCAGAAAAAGGTCGCAGGTCAGCAAGTCAGAAGAGATTGACCTGGACGTTTGTCCTTGTAAGGAGGGTTTGGCCAAGTCAGCTCCAAGCATGGCAGCAGATGCCTATGGTGTCCCGCTTCCCAGCTCAAGTTGGAGCAACAATGAGAGGTTGCGCAACTGCCCTTTTAGGAGGCCAAATCATGTTCAGCAAGAAAAGTTCATCATACATACGGCTGGTTCTACCTTGAATAGGAGGACGGAATCGTTGCCAAGTTACTCTTGCAGACCTCGTTGTGTGGGACACAGCAAGGATGGACTTGCAGTTTGCGAGTTGCCTTTTACATTGCTTCATACAAGAAATACATTGCGCACGTGCAGATACTGCAATTTGAAAGTAGAAATGGCCGGGCCACAGGGTGAACTTTAAATGCCACTTGTGCCGTGGTCAAAACTAGGAGTCTTTTGTTCTTGGATATAATCAGAATATGTCAGAATCTCATTCTGGGGTCATTGATCCACTTGTGGCAATGACAGCTCCTGTGAGGATGTGCAGCTCAGGGGGATGTGACAATTAAATCGCCCCAGGCACCATGTGACAATGGAGCAGCTAAGGGCCATGTGCCACCCCAGTATGACAGTGCGGCCAGCCGATGAAAATTAAGGAATACCAACATATGTATGTATAATTGTATAAATATACATATATATCAACATATATCAAAAATGTGACATGCTGTATTGACGTGACGCTTGGTGCTGAGGCTATCACCAGGCTGCCCCGTTCTAATTTTGGCAGTTGCGGCTGATGAGCACCACCCAGTGAAGGCCAGACTAGCAAAACACAAACCTTTTGGTGGCAATTAGTTATCCCATTTTAGTTCATGTTAGCCCATGTTAACATCACATCAAAAGTTTCTTTCTAACGATAGCTGCTTTAGAGATTAGAGCCAGGCAGCAGAAGAGCTTGCAAGGATGCTCCCAGATTCTGAGCTGGAGGTGGCCTGACCACTGTTGCAGTTGATGTTGTTTGCGGTACTGCTTAGCTACCAGTCATTGATCACATAGACCGAGTAGGCGTTATCTTACAAAAAGTGCGCAGGTTGCCAACAGCTTGGAGTTCCTTGACTGCAAGAAGTTTCACACTCTTATACATGTGGCAAAATTTGGGCGGTGTATCCTAGTCAAGCTGCGTCGCCCTCCATTTCACCATAAGGCACGCAAAATCAACATGGGCTGCTCGCATTAACAATTTTCTCCGCAAGGCTGG